TGTGTCTTTGCTCCCTATGTGCTCCGTCTTCCAGTTTCTCTGTCTCGTGTTTTGAATTCTTTGTTCCCAGGTGTTTCCTATGTTGATTGTCTTATTAGTTCCAGGTGTCCCTTGTCTTCCCCTCATCAGTTCCTGTGTATTTAAAGTGTGTTCTAGTTCTTGTCCTTTGTCAGTCATTAAACGTCATCCTGTCCTCCTGATGTGTCGAGTCCTGTGATCTCCAGCCTTTGTTTACTAAACCCTTTTGAGTTACTTTACTCTGTGTCTCCTCGCTCCTTCGTTCCCGTGTTCCTCGTGTGTGTGAACCGTGACAGAACGACTGACCAAAACAGTAAGCGGCGCTCCTTCTTCCGTGTTTTGTTTTGTTTTGTTTTGTTGCTTTTGGTTTTCCTTTTTCTCCCGTTTGTCTCCGCGGTACAAAGACCGCCCTTCTGTGAAGCGTGCCGGCCGCGCCGTTGTCAAGCGCCAGCCGGGGCTTTCTCCAGTCCGCTGGCCTCGCCAAGGACAAGCCCGCCGGATGCTCAGAACCAACCCGTACCTATGGCAAGCCCGCCAGCCGGGACTATCTCCAGCCCGCTGACCAGGCCGATGGCAGGCCTGTCAGCCGGGGCTATCTCCAGCCCGCTGGCCAAGCATATGGCAAGCCCACCGGACATTCATGTGGCAAGCCTGCCAGACGTTCAACACTCAAGTTCGCCGACCACACCTTTTCCCCCCAATCCAGAAGAGGAGACTAGGGACGAGGAGAAGGGTGTCGGCTTCAGCCCCAGAGCCTCCCGATCCCCAGTTCTGCCCAGGCAGGGCTCCCGATCCCCAGTTAAGCCCAGGGAGGGCTCCCGACCCCCAGTTCAGCCCAGGAAGGGCTCCCGATCCCCAGTTCAGCCCAGAAAGGGCTCCCGATCCCCAGTTCAGCCCAGGAAGGGCTCTCGATCCCTGGTTAAGCCCAGGGAGGGCTACAGATCCGCAAGTAAGCCCAGGGAGGGCTCCAGTCCCCCTACAGGGCCTCAGAACCTGTAAACGCCCCCAAGTATTTTTTTGGGGGGGGTAGTAGGGCTCCAGCCGTAGAGGCCGAGGCGGGGACTAAGGCCGCGGCCTCGAAGGCTGCTC